GGCTAGTTCGCAGGAAGGCAGGCATATCCACTTTTGGGAATCTTTAATCGTCCTTACTGTTCTTTCATAGATGAAATTTATTAAAGGATTTTGCCGCAATGTGTCGCCTTGGCAGCCATTAAAATCTAAAAGCTAATTTTTACTTTAATTGTAAAGCCGTTTGGTTTATCTAAAAAGGTATTTTTTAACTAAAGCATCCTAACTAGGATGAATGCTTAAAAAAATTTAAAGAATATCGATAATATATTTCATTAAAACAACTGAATAAATGTATTTTACGTATAGAAGTAGAGTTTAGAGACTACAAGTAAATAAATTACTTGTGATGTATTCACCCTATTTCGTTTAGGGTGATGAAGGACTGGTACTAGAATATTACCACAATGATATGAGTAGAGCTAAAGTTTCCATTGAATTTCATAGAGCCTTGTTTTCTCAAAAGTTGTTCTCATCTAGGGTGGACTGCAGTTTCGACCTCGCATCGGTCTTATTAACACCCCCAGCGGGATTCGAATAGTGACAATGCAGCATGTAAGTTTGACACGGTAACCACTCGGCCATATTGCCACGAGTGTCCTTGAGTCACAGGGCAGATGTCCATTTCAACGAAGGCCATGCATTTTCCCATATCGCATTCTTTGGTGGGATTATAGATGAAGCAAACGTATTTTTGCTATAACAATCGACTACATTACTTATTTTTCGTGAAGAAATAGAGTTTCGGGACGTTCATCGCCTTAAACGAAATAGGGTGAGTATATCTCATATAAATGATTTACTAGTAGCCTCAAAGTTCTACTTTTCTACAAAAAATAAGTAACTTAGTGCACTCTGGATGAGAACAACTTTTAGGAAAGCAAGGCTATGTGAAATTCAATGGAAATGTCAGCTCTACTAATATCATTGTAGGAATATTCTACTACCACTCCTTCATCATTTTTAAACGAAATAGGATAAATATCTCTTATATAAATGTATTTTAGTATAAGGCATAGTGAAATTTATTATATGAAAATTTGCTTTTAATGGTCAAAAGTTTTAACTTGAGTACCAATTATCAAAGACGAACGCTTTTTAGAAAACTTTAAATCCAGATTTAAGCATATTAACTTTCGGTTCTCAGAAAAGTCTAAGATATTAAAAATATATGGCTAAACTCGAAGTAAGCAGTTTGGAGACTTAAAGCTATAGAAAAAGAAAGATTCGGTATAATATGAGATTATCAGTCAAAGAAGAATGTGGGTCAACACTGTACCAAGCACAGGGATTCAAGCGTTCTGCAGTGGTATACCCAAAATACCTCTGAAGCCAAAAAACTAAATGCTTCATTAGGGTTATTTAGAACTGATATAAGTAAGGAAGTACTTGTGTCACTGGCTTCTTTAATTATATATTTACTTATATATACCTGGGCTAGATCAAAACTATACTCCAATCTGGAAAAGAACACATTTTTGGAAGCAAGAGTAAATATATATATATATATTCAATTCAATGGAAATCAAGGCCTATAGGTATC